TAGCCATCTTATCACACCTGGAGGCTCGGAACTCTTCAAGGGAGGCAGGGGGATTGACGGTAACAATCAGTTATTTTCTATGTGTGTTCTTGCTTGTTACCAAATAGTATTTTCCCGGTTAAGAGGCAGGAGGAATGAACCAGGAAGTTTCCCGCGTGCCAGAGGGGTCAACAATAAAAAAGAAAGGAGCCCAAGCTGTTCACATCAGGGGGAAGATGTGATTAGAGAGATGTGACATGCAAAGAAATTATCTGAAAAGTGAATTCAGTTGGGAAAGTACAAGTCCCAAAGAGCCGAGAGCAGCTGGTCATGATCAGATTCTCCATCTTTCTGTCAAATGTAATCGTATCCAAATTGGCAGGGTATTTATTGCTAAAGTCGAAGGGCCAGATTTTACACTAAACATATTTACACATTTACATTCACGGCCCTATAAACACTCCACATTTCACTGGCCGTGACATCAAACACATTTACCAACAAAAAGCATATGCCTAATTACAAAATCATAGGGGAGAAGAGAGGCAAGTGGCAGCTGATGGGCAATGAGCGTGCATGCCTGTGTGTGTGTATATGTGTGACCCAGCTGCAACGCCAGGAAGCCGGGAGAGATGAGAATGGATGCTGACAATGCTGGGCCCACTCTGCTTGTCCTCTGCTTCCCAGGCCTGTCCTCGTCTGGTTCAGTTCTCAAAGGGGACGGGGACCCCCGGCACTCCAACGCATCCCACGGTTATCCCCCTGGAGGAGCCCAGAGAGACCAGAGTGACTGGTGGGCAAATTTCTGATTCGGATTGAGTTTGATGGGGATACGACCTTAAAGTTACCCCCACATGACTTTTCTCAGTCAGTAATAAAAATAGGTGGGAGCAAAATGGGTAGCCAGCAGAGAAGTTTTAAAACTAAACCTAGAGTCCTTAATTCCTGGCTTCAGGCAGTAAGATCAGATCCCTGCCCGCCTGGAGCAGTTGTAATAACACCGTTAGCCGCTCCAAGCTTGGTCCTCGGTCAAGCAAGGAAATGAGAGCCACCAGGGCCAGAGAGAGGAAAACAAAACAGGCACCACCACTGGCCTCCGACAGCCTTTAATAAATGACACAGGCTGGTATTCCATCAAAATAATCACCTTCCATTTGAAAAAAAAAAATCCACCTCCCCCAGTTCTCTCAGAGGACAGTCTACAGGAAGAAATGGTGAGCTTTGGGGGTGGGGGGGCACTGAAAGGCAGAAGCTTTTCCCCCACATGGATGCTTACTACATTCACTGTAAGAATTTTGTTAGTAACCCTACGCCAAATCCCAGTTCCACCAGCAGAAAGTTTGGGCAGGAAAGGGCCACTGAGTGGGGGCCAGGGAAGGAGGGATGTGCAAACGCATACAGAGATGGCTCGGTGAGTGAGAGCGAAAGGGAAAGGTTCTCAGAATGTTTCCCTTCTCATCCCTCGTTTCTTTTCTTTTTTTTTTTTTCTCCTTTTTAAGAGAGGAAAGGAAGTGGCTCTTAAATAAATGCACAGGATGGGGATGGGAAGGAAACACGTTGTTGAACAGAAGCGCTAGCTTCTCATTTTGAAGAAATAAAATAATTACCCAACAGAGAAAAAAAGAAATCAACCAAGAAACGATCTAAGGTCGTGACACCGTGTGTGGTACAAGGAGCAATTCAATCCATAAGGGCTTCATTACCCCCGCAATAGATAACATTTGGCTAAATCCAGCCGCAGAGTAAATCGCCGCCGCTCCGCAGAGCCCTGAATGGAGACGCTCCTTTTTGTGTGGTCCTCGTCCTCCCGGAGCTGCCTGCACCATTAGCCCCAATATATCCCTCTCCCTATTAACTGCAATTCCCTCCCGACTGCGCCCCAGTCATTTGTCTCCGGGCTCGACGGGGGCGTTTGATGAGCAGAGAAACAAGACGGAGGGGAGAAAAGCGTCGGGTTAATGAGTTGTAGCAAATCCACACTTTGTAGTTGGGAGGAGGAGAGCTGGTGGCCAATGTTTGTCCAACTGGTTTATTTTTCGAGACCCAGCCTATTGAGGAAGGCTTGTTCAAGCAAGCTCGGTCCTTCCAAACACACAAACATCCTTCTGTGTGCCTTCAAAGAAAAGGGGACCAGGGCTGGATTTGCATGCGAATGAGGAGCCCGGGAGGAGACGTCCTTGCCCATCAAAGGCCCCGGTAGCCCGCAGCCCCTCGGCCTTTGTTCCAGCACCTGCTCCCGGTGCAGCCCGACGGCCGCCCTGCGCTCCGGGCGGCCCGCTCCCCGCCTGCAGGCCCCGCCGCCTGGGCGCCCCACTATCTCGTCCCCCCCCCCCCCCGCCGCTGGCCACACCTGGGGAGGAGCCCAGAGCCCCCGGGGTGCAGGAGGGAAACCTAGGGAGCCTGCAGGCGGCTGGGGCTTCCTCCTTCTCCGGGCTGGGGGCTCAACAAGCGCTTGGTCTCTCCGGCTGGTGCGTGTGACTCGGGACCGGGCTCCAGACTCCAGATGAGCCCGCGGCGGGTCTGCACGGTGCCTTGTTACCATCCCCTTAACCGCTCTGACAAGTTGGGGGGTAGAGCCCAGCCTGGCACTTTTTTTTTTTTTTTACAGGTGCGGGCATCTAACAGGATGAGCAGAGATTCCCTGCTTTCAGGACGTCCAAGCATCACACAAATAATAACCCGCATGGTCTTGCTCTTTCCCCCGCTCGTCATAATGACTTCCAGCTCTGAGCTGCAGGTCTGTGACTTACTGAGAGAAGGCTGCAAGGTGCGCAGCAGCGCCTGTGCTGTCCGGGATCCGCCTGCTAACGCCTCTCCCCAGGCGGGCGGCTTGGGCATCCGGACATCCCAGCCCCCGGGGGTTCCTCTCTGGCAGCCAGCCGGGCTAGGGTAAAAGTAACTTTTGCATATAAGGTTCTGGTCTAACAATGTTTCCATTTGTATCTGCATAGTCAGTGGTGAACTTTGAGGGTATGTCTGAACTCTTACTTAATCTTCTCCAAATGCTTGATAGGAAAAAACCCAGGACTTAATTTTAAGGCTGTAAGAGTCCAGTTTCTCCTCCCTAAAGAGGCACACGAGGCCAGGGCGTCAAGAGCGACTGTCACTGCAAAAATATTGGCCTATAATTCAGTCTTCATTAACTTGATAGGTTAGTGGTGCAGATCTTCAGGTACATACCTGTCTAGGCTTTTGGAAAAGAATTTGATAAACATATTTAACCTCCTCTGCAACTCACTGATATTAAGTGTTTAAATTACGTATTACATATGCTTTGGTTTTATTTGTAGCCCGTGGCAAATATCTATAGTTATCAAAACTAGAGTCTCATATTTTTTCACATAACTAGAAATTGCCTGCAACAAGTAGTTAATGAAAATACTCAAAATTTGAAAAAAAAGAAACCCTAAATCACAAAAGCTGTATAATTACTTCAATAAACACTGATACACTTTCATTTTTATTCTTAAAGCGTGTACTATGCTAAAATTGAAGATTTCTCTTACATACTCTACGTTACTCATTTAGAGTTTCACTGTTTGCCTTTTAAAATAAAAACTTCTTGGGGATCCCTGGGTGGCGCAGCGGTTTAGCGCCTGCCTTTGGCCCAGGGCGCGATCCTGGAGACCCGGGATCGAATCCCACGTCGGGCTCCTGGTGCAGGGAGCCTGCTTCTCCCTCTGCCTGTGTCTCTGCCTCTCTCTCTCTCTCACTGTGTGCCTATCATAAATAAATAAAAATTAAAAAAAATGTTTAAAATAAAAACTTCTTTATGCAATTCCTAAACATCTTTTCTTTCAAGAAAATAGTAGCTTTAAATACTAGAGCTTTCAAATAAAGTTTATTTTACACAGGTAAATATTATTCAGGACTTCAAAGCTACTTGTATCTATTAAATTTGCAAGGACTAAAGATTGCCTATTTGCTCGTGCTGCTTTCATTACAATATAACTGTCAGGTTGCAGAATTTTTACAGATACAGTATTGTGCTCAAAGGGAAGTGAAAGTTAAAGTGGGAAACTCGGGGAAAAAAATTAAAAGTTCTGCAAAAATATCTGAGGGTGACTGTGGCATCAATTTCAACAGCCCCAGTGCTCTTCAAAATGGAACGGAAGTCTGAAAATGTCTATTAAAGTAGCTTATTTTATTGTCACCATTTAGAAGTAATTTCTGATTTCTTGCACTGACTTTGACCTGGAAAGCAGAAATGAAAAATGATGCCGTGATGCTCTTTAAAAATCCTCTCTGAAAATAAAATTTCCTATTCTATGTCGGGTTCCTACTTCATTCCCACAGAAATCTTTTTTTTTTTTAACAGAAAAGAAAATAAACTAAGAAGGGGACGACTGGAGTCAATTTTTTTGGTGGATTTTCTTTGAAAATTAAGCATTTTATTTCTGAAAAAAGTGTAAAAATCTTACATTAGAATAGCACAATAATAATTGCCAGTAAAATTTACAATACTCCTTGTAAAGAATACGCAGCAAGTACAAAATAAAAATCCCGCGTGTCTATTATGATACAAAAACACAGGTTAAAATAAGAAACGATCATTTTGACTTTTTTGTTGTTGTTGTTCCTTGTGTAAACACGTTAATCATTTCCCCCCCATATTTGTATGAAAAAAGTACACCAGACAAGAGTCCTCGAATATAAAAACTATTGCTTCGCTGGCGCTCTTCAGGACCTTTAGTGTCTGTGTATCACTCTTTTGAACATTACTGGTATTTTTTAAACGCCTGGACCTGAGACTCTCTAGACCTCCAAAAGGCTTAGATTTAGGAAGTGATCAATAAAAAAGTTCCCACAAACGGAGGAAGGCCCTTGCGCTTACACAAGGGAGGGCCGGCGGCGGGCCCCCTGTTCCTCCAGGGCCGGGCCGGGGGGGCTGCAGCCTCGGGGCGGCTTTTTATAAATAGAGGGGCCGGGCCGCGCCGCGCCGCAGCGCAGGGCGCACCCCGGGCAGTCCCCGGCGGGGGCCGCGCGCGCGCCGGGCGGGGCGGGGCGGGGCGGGTTCCTACCTGCGGGCTGCCGAGCGCCCTAACCGGGCGGCCTTAACAGTTAGAGACGCGGGCGGTCAAGCTGTCGCCGCCGGGCAGGGCCGCGGCCGGGTGCAGGGTCCCCAGGGCGGCGGACGAGGACACGGAGGAGGCTGCGGCGGCCGCGAGCGAGCGGGTGAGCGCGGCGGCAGGGCCCCCCGCAGCCTGGGCGCCGCCGGGCGCGGGCGCGGGTGCGGGCGCGGGTGCGGGCGCGGGTGCGGGTGCGGGTCCCGGCGCGGGCGAGGCCTGCACGGCTTGCGCGGCGGCCGGGCCCAGGCTGCGGCCGATGATGCTCTCGATGGAGAAGGGCGAGCGCGCCAGCGCCTTGGCGGCCGGGGCCCGCAGCGGGGCGGGCAGGGCGGCGCCCAGCGGGTGCGGCCGGTACCCGAAGGCGGGCGCGCGGGGCGGCGGCGGCGAGTGCGGGTGGAAGGCGGCGAAGAGCGCGGCGGGCGGCGCGTAGGGCGGCAGCTGCAGGCCGAAGCCGCAGCCGTAGGGCCCGTAGCCGCAGGGCGGCGGCGGCGGCGGCGGCGGCGGCGGCGCGGGCGGGAAGAGGGCGGCCCCGGCCCCGGCCCCCGGCCCCGGCCCCGCGCCCGCCGCGCCCGCGCCCGCGCCCGCCGCCCCGCGCAGCAGCAGCGCCTCGTGGGGCGGGAGCAGCGGCTGCCGCTTGAAGCGCTTCCTCCGCCGCAGGAAGCTGCCGTTGTCGAACATGTCGGCCGACTCGGGGTCCAGCGTCCAGTAGTTGCCCTTGCCCGGGTTGCCCGGCTCGCGCGGCACCTTGACGAAGCAGTCGTTGAGCGACAGGTTGTGGCGGATGCTGTTCTGCCAGGCGGGGAACTTCTCCCGGTAGTAGGGGAAGCGGCCGCTGATGAACTCGCAGATCTCGCTCAGCGTCAGCCGCTTCTTGGGGCTCTGCAGGATGGCCATGGTGATGAGCGCGATGTACGAGTAGGGCGGCTTCACCAGCGGGCTCCGCGCCGCCGCGCCCCCCGCGCCCGCCGCGCCCGCCGCGCCCGCCGCCCCCGCCGTCGTCGCCGGGCCCGGGGTCGCGGGGGCCGCGGGGGGCGCGGGGCGCGCGGCCAGGGGCGCGTCGTCGTCGTCGTCGTCCTCGTCGTCCAGCTCGTCCTCCCCGCCGTAGGAGCGCCGCCGCCGCCGCCCGGGCCCCGGGGGGGCCTCGGCGCCGCTGCCCTCGCCGTCCTCGTCGTCGTCGCCGCCAGCCCCGCCCTCCCCCACCACGTCGATGTCGGTGTCCTCCGCGGGGCCGGGCATCTCCGCGCTCAGGGTCATCGCTGCGGCGCGGCGGGGGCGGCGGGGGGCGCGGGGGGCGCGGCGGGCGCGGCGGGCGCGGGGGGCGCGGGGGGCGCGGGGGCGGGGCGCCGCATCGGGACGCGCGGCTCGGGGCTCCCGCCGCTCCCCGGCCCCGGCCCCGGGGGCGCCACGCTCGGGCCTCGGCGCCGCGCCCCGCGAGTCCTCGCCGGCGGCCGCGGGAGCCGCTCGGGCCGCCCCGCCTGGGCCCGGGCGCCGAGCGGGGCCGACCTTCCCCGGCGGGCGGCGGCGGCGGCGGCGGCGGGCGGGCGGGAGCCGAGGCGGCGGCCGAGTCCGGGAGAGGGCGGACCTCTCCGCGGCTTATAGCGGGCGGCCTGTCACATGGTGCGCGCGTCAGCGCCGCGGAGGGCCGGGCAGGGGCGCGGGAAGCCAGGCGCGGTCGGAGCGCACGGAGGACCGGCCCCGCGCGGGTCGCGGCGGGGGACCCGGGGCTGCGCGCCGCTCGGCGTCCGGCCCGGCCCGCGCTGGCCCTCCCCTCCCCCTCCCCTCCCCCTCCCCTCCCCCTCCCCTCCCCTCTCCTCCCCTCCCTTCCCCGGGCAGCCGCACCTCGCGGCTGCCTGGCGTCCCCGAGCTGGCCCTCCCCTACCCCACCCTCCCCGGGGCTGCGCACCGCTGGGCTTCCCGGCCGGGCCCCGGAGCTGGCCCTTCCCTCCCCTCCCCTCTCCGGGCGGCCGCACCGCAGCATCCCGGCATTCGGCCTGGTCCCTGAGCTGACCCTCCCCTCCCCTCTCCTCCCCGGGGCAGCCGCACCACTTGGCATCCCGGCCCCATCTGAGCTGGCCCTCCCCTCCCCTCCCCTCCCCTTCTCGGGGCGGCCGCACCTCTCAGCATCCCGGCTGGTCCCCGACCTGACCCTCCCTCTACCCTCCCCGGGCAGCCGGTGCACCGCTCAGCTTTCTGACCGGGTCCGAGCTGACCCTCCCCTTCCCTCCCCTCCCTGGGGCGGCCCGCACCATTCAGCATCCCACCCCGTCCCCCCAGCTGACCCTCTCCTCCCTGGGACTCCGCTGCCAGCCGACCTCCCCCCACAAGGCCCGCAGGAGCCACGTGGCCCCGGGGCTCCCGCCCCCGAGCAGCGGTCCCCATGGAGGGAGCCCCCGAGCTCCGCGGGCCGGCCCGGCTCCCTCAGCCTGGGCCCGCGGCTCCCCAGCAAATCTGCTGAGAAGCACCCCCACACACCCCGTTTAAGCACAATAATAATTGTTTACTGACCTTTTAACCTGTCCCCTTCGGTTCTTCTCCAAAGACGTTTGTTTTCCGCCATCTGTTAATAAAAATGTGGTTAGGGCTGGCGTTTTGGTCACTTATCTGCAACTGAATGCCCTAGAAACTTGACAGCTAAACTAAGCCACTCTAATGAGAGGATCTGACAAATTTCTTGGGAATAAAGCAAGTAATCGTTGAATGCAGAAAAGACGTAGAAAATGTCAGTGAAAACCCAAACACACACACACAGAAACAACGAGGAACAACTCAGAAAGTTCTTTCATGACGAGGTAAGGGACTCTGTGGTTCTTAGTAAGAGGGAGATTCTAATCAACAGCCCACAGTAACCTTATGTGTATAAGGTGTACACACACCTCGACTCAGGCTTGATAATAGGGTAATGAACACTTTCAAACCAGCTTTTAAAAGTGTTTTTGAGGGATCCCTGGGTGGCGCAGCGGTTTGGCGCCTGCCTTTGGCCCAGGGCGCGATCCTGGAGACCCGGGATTGAATCCCACGTCAGGCTCCCGGTGCATGGAGCCTGCTTCTCCCTCTGCCTCTCTCTCTCTCTGTGACTATCATAAATAAATAAATAAATGTGTTTTTTGGAAAATCTAAGTATCTCCAATAGCTACTGGCTGGAAGCAACGAAATAATGCTGTAAAATAAGATTCAAGTTTTGTTCAACCCAATTTTCCTTTTCAGGTGACAGCGTAGCAGAAACAACTCAAACAGGATGTCATTTTAAGCATTCCTATCTTTGTCATCAACCCACAGTAATTGCTGCGGCTGTGCAAAGGTCCTGATAGCCCGTGGAATTGACACTCACGCGGCCACTCCTTTTGGATTTTTACATTTCCTAAAGCACTCCTGTTTCAAAGTGGGGACCCACCTCCAATTTTTAGCTTTCTGACTAAAATGAACACTTGAAAAAACTAAGTATCAAAAGTCAGTGGCTTTCTGTAGCAACGACCGGCAGCTGAATTTGTGTACATGTTACTTTTCCCACCCAGTTCTTTGCGTTTTCCAATGTCTTATTAATCCTCTTATCAATCACACTCTCAAAAATAAACTGCCCCAACCTGAGAATTCTTTTAAAATCGAGTTTTTTGGGCCGAGGACAGCTACCCACCAGTTGCGCTGACAAATGACCCCTAACATCCATCACAGGTCTTTGAAAGCTGTGACGGTGCCTCCAAGTCCTAAATAAGTGGTTTCTCAGTGACTCTCCTTTGAAAAATGGCACAACCATGGCATCATGGCAAGGGGCTCCGCATTCACCTGAGCCAACACTGTCAGCACCACTACTCTGTCGTTGGTCATTACGTCGCTCTGCTCTTGTGGCCCAAGTCCTTACAAGGACCTCACGCTGGCACTTCCAAGTCCGTTTTAGAAGCGCTCCGCGGAGAGCTAAATCAACAGCGCGGCGCCAGGCGGAGCACTAGGAGCAGCACTGGGAGGAAGAGGGCTGCAGGCCAGCAGCTCCTTCAGGTGCTCGTGCCCTCTCACTGCCCTGACCTTGTCCGCAGAGGAGGGAGGAGGGAGGGTGGCGAGGAGAGAGGAGGGAGCAGGGCGAGGAGGGGGGAGGATTGAGGAGAGGGAAGAAGGGGGAGTGAGGAGGGAAGAGGAAGGAGGGTGAGGAGGGAGGAGAGTGAGGAGGGAGCAGGGCGAGGAGGGGGGAGGAGGAAGGAGGGCAAGGAGAGAAAAGGGAGAAGGGAGGAGGAGGAGAGAGGAGGGAGGAGGGAGCAGGCCGAGGAGGGAGGAGGGGGAGGAGAGAAGAGGGAGGAGTGGGAAGAGGGAGCAGGGCGAGGAGGGAAGAGGGAGGAGGCCAGAGGCTGGCTGCCCCTTGCCAGGGCTCCCACCAGAGGGGCTGGCTGGGGTGTGCTCCCCGCGAGCCTTGGATGGCGGGTCACCTGGCGGCGGGCGGGCGCGGGCACCTGCGAGGACTCGGTGGGTCTGGGCCAAGCGGAGCGTCCGCGGTGGCGTGGACCCCCGGGCCGCCCCCCAGGCCCCGGCGATGGTGCTGCGCTGGGCGGTGCGCGGCCGGCTCGCGTGGACGGACCGTGCGGGGCGCCCCGGGCCGGGGCGGGGGAGGGAGGCTGCCCCCTGGCGGCGGCGCGGCGGCCTGCGGGGAGAGCGGGGCAGGGGCGTCCCCGGGGCCCGCGGCCGGCTCGGCTTCCCTCCTGGCGCGGCGGCCCGGGACGCAGGCGGAGGGCGCGGGGGCTGGCGCCCAGGGGCCCGGGAGGGGCCGGAGGGCAGCCAGGGAGCTGAGCCTCACACCGGGGCTCCGCACGTTCCCTTGCGCCTGGCGGGGGCTGCGGGGGGGCCGCGGGCCCTGGCCGTGCCATGGGTGGGCGCTCCCCGCTCCCCGCACCCTGCTCCCCGCACCCCGCACCCCGCTCCCCCACCCCCCGCACGCCGCTCCCCGCACCCAGCAATCCGCACCCCGCAACCAACACCCCGCTCCCCCTACCCCGCACCCCGCCCTCCGCTCCTCCACTGCGCACCCCGCTCCCCGCACCCCGCAACCGCAACCCGCACCCCCACCCCGCTCCCCGCACCCCAAACCGGTCGCCTGGGGGCCTGGCCTGGCCGCAGCCAGCCCGCCCTCGCCCTGCGTTTTGTCTGCTTGTTGGTCAGCGCGAGCTAACGCACACATCGCACACAACTGACTTTATTTTCACTTTTTAATTTCTTTCCTGCGAATAGACCCAGAGCCTTACGCGGAGGCAAGTGACGCACAGTAGGAACGTGCACACCCGGGCGTCACCGTGGCACCGCAGGGGAGCAAGAACTGAAGAGCACAGTTCAGAGACATGGAGAATATTCACGTTGCTGCAATCACATTATCCATTTCCAGAACGTTCCCATCATCCCAGACTGAAACTGGACCCACTAAACAGTAACCCCAGGGTCCTGCCCCCGCCGCCAGCCGGGGCAAGCACTAGTCCACCTCGTCCCTATGAATCTGACCCCTCTGGCCGCCTCACAAAAGTAGAGCAGCACCACCTTTGTCCTCTTGACAGGCGGTCTCTACTTGTAGACTTGTAGAGACTTGTAGACCTTGTAGCATGTATCAGAACTTCATTCCTTTTCAAGGCTGAATAACACTCTTTCCTATATAGATGCCACATTTTGTGCGTCCATTTGTCCACCAAGGGACGTTGGGGTGGTTCTCTCCTTTTCTGTTCCTTGGTGAACCTCCACGCACCCAGCTCTCTGTGAGACTCCACATGCGCCCAGTAAGGGTGTGCTTGTCACTGTCCTGCGCCTTTCTTACCCCAGAAATCCTCAAGGGAACTCCATGGTCCTAAGAGAGGACACACATTAGTGAAGTCACAGCAATAGTCCCCCCCCCCCGCCCCCGCTTCTGGATTTGTAACCTCAACTTGCTCACAATCCTGAGACTTGGAGACTCACACTCTGCACATCGTCTTCGATTTTAAGCAGGAGGAGTTAAGACTCCACCAGAATATTTGTGAATATTGTGAATATTTTCCCCCAGACACCTGCACGTGCGCACGCGCACACGCGCGCGCACACACACACACACACACACACTTTTAAATTCCTTTTCTGCCTTCTCACCTGTCCTAAATCCCCAGAGGCCTGAGATGACCTTCACATGCTTCTCTGGCCATCCAGGTCCCTCTGCTTCCGCATTCTCTAGGGGTCTAATGGTTGTGCCATGAGGGTTGGTTCACACACACCACCAAGCTAATGTCGAGGTCACAGTAGCCAGTGCAGTGGGTACCTCCAAGTGATGGCTGAGCAATCAGGCTT